GACTTGGGTTTTTATAGAGTTTTTTGGCTAGATCTACATAATTAATACGTATAAGATAAAAGATAATCAAAGATTACGATCTTGACCACATTATTACTTCAATTCCCACTTAATTATGATTTTAATTAATAATTTCCTTCATTTATGTTACGTGGGTAAAGACGATTCATCTCCAGCTTTTTGCAAAATTTACGCAATCAAAAATTATTGGGTGAGTTAATGTCCATTTGACTAGTAGTTAGTCCAGATGGTGAAGCAACCTAATTAATTCAAAGAAAACACATAAATTAAAACATACCAAAATACTTTTACAGCTACTTTTAAATTGTATCCTCTTAATCTGATCTTAAATTGTAGCAGACCATCATTTCCATCAGAGATTACAATTTAATTTAATAATTAGAGAGATATTCTAATCACAGTATCTCTCTTCTTTATCTTCTTCCAGTGGCTGCTGTCCTTTTTTTTTTTTTCCTTCTCTTTTTCTCTCACTTCAAACTTCTCTCTCTCTCTCTCTGTAAATATTTTCTTAGCTAGAAACCATTATTTTCCAAACCCTTCTTATTCAATCTTTCTTCGTTTGATTATCATAAATATTATTTATTCCAAAACACCCTTATAATCCATTCTTCCTAACATACACTTAATAATTTGAAGGACACAAATACTCATAACCCAAAAAAACATAAATCAAATTAATCGAACTAATCTTTTTTCTGTGGTGAATAGGACCCATTTTTGTTTCTTTCAAAATTTTTTGCTAAGTTATTTGTGTGTTCTGATGTTGAAATTAGACTTTTGTATGTAGGATAATGCTTGTTTTATTCGTTTTATTTTATGTATATAGATAAAGAGAGATAGATAGATAGGTACTGAAAAATAATTAAATTAAATTTTAAATATACTTTAAAGTATTAGAAATTTTTTTGAGAAAACCAATCAAATTGTTTTGATAAATTTGTTTGGTTGAACTGGTTAATCAATTCAATTGGTTAAAAATTAAAAGATTAATTACCTAACCGGTCCAATCCGTCTAAGGTAACTAAATTGGATTTTGAATTTAATTTGAAGTATTAGAAAAATTTTTAGAAAGAGCAAAAACCAATCAAATTCAAATCAAAATGGTTTAGAGATATCTATTTGGTTTAACTGGTTAATCAATTGAATTGATTATAAATTAAAAAAAAAAAAAAAAAAACTAGTTACTTAGCTGGCTCTAAATTAAGATCTAAAAGCAAAGGTATTTTTCTAATTTATATATTATATAGAAATATTATTAAATTTAAAATATATGTCATAAATTTATTTACATTATTATTTTTTAATTTAATATAGGTGTAGTGTAGAAAACATAAAATATTAATTGTGTGGAACAAAAAGAGAAAATTAGTATTTTGTTTCTGGGTTTCAATTATTCCCAAAAATTTAATAATTAATAAAATTTGATCGGCTTTTTAATTTTAAATTTTTTAACCAAACAAACAGACTGATATCTCGTGTCTATATTATTCATATGCAATTTGCCCATCAGTCAGGATATTGCTTCTGATATTGTTTTACGACGTCGTTTCTCCTTTGTGGAATGAATAACATAATGGGCCTGTTTCTGTATTTGAGCTAAAAGGGCTGGAATGACCCAAATTGAAAAGTTTTTTCTTTTACTTTTCTGTAGATAATTTTTTTTTTTTTAAAAAAAAATACAAATTTAATGACTTGAACTAGAGACTTTATATATGTACGTGATGAATTTATTATTATTATAAATATATTGCATTATAACAATTACGTTGATGGGTATATATATAATAAATAGTAGACCCACTTTCCCCCCTTAGGCTTGGAACACATTTTCCCAGTGCCTTTAAAAGCCCTTGATTTTGTCATTCGTTGTGGCTCACTCCACACGACAAAGCAGGTCCTATGATACTTATGTTACAATATTATCGAATTAATATATATATATATAATATAGACATAGATATATGTGGTCATGAATCCTTGAATCCACTTCAATTTACATACTATAACTCTTCCAAAAAATTAAATATATATATATAACACAGACAATTTTGTCAATCTTAAGAAAGTCGATATATATATATATGTGGAGAGAACTTTCTAGATTGAATGAATTTAAAACTACAATTTTTTTACATAAAAAATCTTATTTTAAAAATAAATTGTATACTTTTCTGACAAAATTAAATAAATCATGTGTAAATAATTAAAATTAATTATCATCATATTCAAACGTCTCGTAATATCTCTCCATACCTCATAAAATCTTTTGTTAAATTATTTATTAAAATATCCATGTAAAGGTGTTAAATTGGTGGGACTCATTGCAGTCCGACTGGGACTTAATGCAGGTTCTGAGTCTAAAAAGTATCTGCATGTGTACAATGTATATATATGTAAATATATGTAGAGGTAGGGTAAACATGAGAACTTAAATGTGTATGTAGTGTGTAGGTATACCTTATCTACACCCCATATAAATACATATTTTTGTCATAAATAAATGCAAGAAATAAAATAAAAAAAAAAAAAAGGAGAACGCTGATTCGGATTTCCTCAAATCATCATCTCTCTCTCTCTCTCTCTCTCATCTCCCTTAGTTTTTCATCATCTCTTTCACAAGATTGTCGAATTCTTAGTTTGCGTGCATCAAAACTTTCTTTTTCATTCTTACATGGTATCAAAGCATTAATAAAGAATGAAAATTTAAACACAAAAGGCAAATTCAACTCCTCGTCAAAATCTAACCTTATTGCGTGAAAATACACTCGATTCGTTTGATTCAAACCATCCACACTACAGTAGAGCCAATGAAAACTCAGGTGTGTTACTTATAACAAAGTTGCTCGATTCAAACAACATTAGACCTGCGTGAGGTCGATGAAAGTTGCTCTACATATCAAAAATAAGTTAGGGTTTGTTGATATGAATTCGAAGGAACTATCAGGTGTAGATAATCCACTAATAAAATACTGACTATGATGCAATTATATTGCCATAACCTAGATAATGAATGTGCTGATCAGTCAACATCAAGTGTAGTACTTTTTATGCATATACATTCCACCAGCTCTAAGTTGAGCTAGAACAGAGACATACACAACATAATGCTCACATGATTTATAAGGTAAAGCTGGCAATTGCGAACTTGATGTAGAATTATGATACTATAAGTGTTTATTTCTTGAAATCAAAACCCTTTTTAACGAACTACTTAATTGCGAGTAGATTCTAAACTGTACATACAGAAGGCTGAGAGTTGTGGTCGAATATCAACAAAGAGAATGGGTAATGAAATATTTCATGGGTTTACATGAATCTTATAAGGGTATCAAGGCATAGATACTACTAATAAAACCCTTCCCTTTCTTAAATGAAGTATATTTCATTTTCCAAAAGGAAGAAAAACATAGAGAAATTTTTATTGAATAGTTCAACACATAGAGCTTTGGCCTTTAATGTTAAAGATTTGAACAAAAATGTCATAGGAGTTGGCACAAATCATAAAAAATATTACTGTCCATATTTTTAAGTGGCAAGCCTCTCGGCTGAAATGATGCTTTAAACTCAATTCAAACAAGCTTAGTTATATTCATTGCAACACACAATGCAAAATTTGTTAAAAGCTGCATGAATATCCAAATCGATGTAAACTTAATGGAAATTCAATTATCCAGTACTAATCAAGATCCTTTTTCTCTATATCTTTATCCTCTATCTATGAAGAAAACAGTGCTACAAAGTAGCAAGCTATTATGTAAGAGTAGTATGCATAGTTAAAAAAATAAAAGAACATATGTTTTTTAATTAGTAGACAGGTGGACCGTCCAGATCAATAACCTAAAATGAAGGGCCAAGATTTTTTCTCTTTTTTTGAATGGTTGTTTGTTGTGATGTACATGTAGGTTTCAATGGATTCTACAAATCATTTTCTGGTTTTTTTCTTTTCCCTAGCATGTATAAATGTACCCATGCCTAATTACACAATTCGCAAGAAAATTAAATACCATTTTGTCTGATTTTTCTTGCTACCCGTTAGGTTTTTTTACACGGTATCAGACCAGTGCCTATGTTAAGCACTGTTTTTTATTACAATACTATACACCATTAATCTACCCTTCAATGGCAAACCCTAATACCGACGTGCTAACCTTCTGAACTCGGATCAACCTGAAATGCAACTTGTTACAACTACTCTTGATGGCTCCAATTATCTATCTTAGAGTCGACCTATGGTGATTGCATTAAGAGCTAAGGACAAACTTGCTCTTATTGATGGCAGATGCAATAAGCCCGAACCTGATGCAGCAGAGTATAAACAATGACACAAAGCAGACACCATGGTGGTATCTTGGATTCTCAGCTCGATGAACAAGGAGCTGGCCAGTGCCTTCCTATACACCACATTCGCAAATAACCAGTGGGACGAAATAAAAGAAAGGTATGGAAAAAGTAACAGACCTTTACTGTATCAATTAAAAAGTGAAATAAGTTCAATTACACAGTCAAATATTTCTGTCACAACCTACTATACCAAACTAAAAAGGTTATGGGATGAACTGACTTATTTAAGGCCTTTACCTACTTGCACCTGCCATGTTGCAACACAACATAATGAGATTAATAACACTGATAACCTAAACCAACTCCTAATGGGTCTCAATGACTCATATGACCATGTTAGAAACTAAATATTAATTATGGAACCCCTACTTGCTGTCAACAAAGATTATTTAATGGTGATTAGTGTTGAGAAATAAAGAGAAGTACACAACATCAACTTACATGAAGGGATGTCATCTGCATTTTATGGTAATATGAAAGACAATTTGAAACTTCCAAAC